GCTGCCCAGGTATATGGTTGAGTGCCAGGTCCAATGAGAGACCCTGTCTCAAGAGATGGGGTGGAAAGTGACCAAGGAAGACACCCGGTGGGGTCCTCTGGCCTCCAAAGGTACCAGCAAACACATGTGCACTGTACATGTGCAGACAGACACACAAAAAAGAAAGAAATGGAAAAAGATAGTTCTCAAATACATCTATGGTTAAAAAAAAAAGTTCACGTCTTCTGGGGGGGTCTCTGGGCTCTGAAAAGTCTAGGAGCAGTACCATGCCTCCACACAGTTCAGAACACCCCCTTTGAAGCAATGACCACACCGTCCTAATTAGTTAATTCTGAGGTCAGTCACATCTCACTCATCTCTATGTACTCTACCCAATACACGTACCTTAGGAGGTGAAAGAAGTCAGTAATTTTGACTGAATGAACAAAGCAAATAAATCCCCATGATAACACATTTTAGAAGTGATAAAAATGTCTAAAACATCGTGGAAGTCTCCAATTTCTTTACTCTGGGCCCACAAATAAATACAGCAATTCTGCTACCCAAAACACAGGCAGAACTCCACCAAGCAGAGTAAGGGCACCCGTGCTCATGAACCGCATCTCATGACACCTGTGAGGACCAAATGGACCTTTTTTTGTTTAGGTGTTAAGAATTACGATAAATTATAATTGGTCCCAAGAAATCCCCTTTCCCAAAGTCTAGTGTTTAGACAAAAGTCAGCACCCCTACCTGCTAAAAGGAAGCATTCTCCTTATTTCTGGCAAGAGAAACCTCTGCCTCTTCCATTAACATACACTTGTGGTGCCCATTAGCACATCAAGGTCTATGCTAGCTTCTAAACTCCTTCAGTCTTCACTCAACAAGTACCTGTTACACACTTCAAAGTCTTCCACCCCAGCTTACAGATTCCCCTCCTCCCAGGTACCCATGTCCTTTAAAGCCCTGGAATGTCCCCCTTCCCCCCGCCCCCTGCTTCTCTGACAGACAGCCTTGGTGGTTTGGAATAAACTCATCCCTTTTACCCACGGAGCAGCTATTTTGATTTCTTTAGTGTGCCCATTTTATTCAATAATCACCCATATTTTTTTTATAATATTCTTATGTATTTCCCACATAAACTTCAATTACATGAAACAGGCAAAGTGATTCATAAACAGTTCCCAATCAAAACAGTTAAGAGGGCACACAGCATCTAATACTAAGTTCTCTTGGTGCTTCATAAAAAGAAGTATTAATGACACTACCATGAAATAACTTATGAATGCCATTGTACTGCCTAAGCTATTTCTAAATGTAACTTTACCTTTTTTGACTGAGTGCAATTTGCATTTCTTTTAACTAACCAAGTTAAGACAGTTAGTTACACTTACCCCAGAGCAGATTTTTGCTTTTCTCCAAAATCAAATGGGACGGTAATAACTACATCATTTGCATCTGAGCCCAAGACAGAATGTGCTGTTTCTGTACATTTAAAAGCAAACATAAATAAACACATTATGATGAGACATGTTAAGTGATGACACTTTCTGTAGTTTCCCAATTGAAGCCACAGATTTTCTCACTATACAAAAGTCCCAGTTCTGTGCACCCCGTCCACTCTCCTCCTGTGGCTCCTAAGCCATGCAGTGCTTCTTGTGGTCTTCATGATGGCTTATGGACACGGAACCGGGTACTTTTCAAAGAGCCCAGCTTTTCAGTCTTGGACTGAGATCTAAATTAGACTGGGTCCAGGGGACTAGTTCCAAAGACATTAATCTCAAGAGTCCCCCTGCCCCCCACCATGAGCTCAGGACATTAAAAGACTGCCTTGCCTCTCACAAGATTTTTGTTTGTTTTCCAGACAGGGTTTTTCTCTGTGTAGCCCTGGCTGTGGAACTGGCTCTGCAGACCAGGCTGGCCTAAACTCAGGGATTCACCTGCTTCTGCCTCCTGAGTGCTGGGATTAAAGATGTGCACCACCACAGCCCGGCTCCTCACACGATCTTAACGACTGCAGAGCTGAACTGAGCCTTGTAAGGAATCTATAGAGAATTTCCCAAATTGTTCTACAAAGTGCCACTGACTCACTGAGCCTTTGTCTGGAGTGGTAATAAGCCAGTGTCAATCTGCCCACATCACCATGGGGAGGGCATTGCCAACCTTGAAGTTCTGAAGTTGCTAATCTGGCCTGAACCTTTTACACTACGATTTAAATAGCTGGAATCTGCAATGCTCAACAAGTTCTTGATTTTGGAAAGGTTTGGAGTTCAGAATTCTGGATTATGGATTCTTTTTTTTTTCTTTTTTTTTTGAAACAGGGTTTCTCTGTGTAATTTTGGTGCCTGTCCTGGATCTCGATCTGTAAACCAGGCTGGCCTCCAACTCACAGAGATCCGCCTGGCTCTGCCTCCTGAGTGCTGGGATTAAAGTTGTGCGCCACCGCCGCCTGGCGGATTATGGATTCTTAACTGGCAGATTCTAGATAAACATCCCCAAATTTGAAAATTCCTGAAAGTTTGTATACCTCTGGTCCCAAGCATTTCAGATACGAGATATTCAACCTGTTCTTACAGGGAAGGTTATGGCTAGAGCCAATTGGCAGCCAAACAAAATCTAGTTTAGCTCTAACTGCTGGTTTGTGGAGTCACTCACTGTTTTCCCCTTCAAAGTGTGTGTGTGTGTGTGTGTGTGTGTGTGTGTGTGTGTGTGTGTGTG